ATGCCTACCGCAGCATCGCTAGAAGATGCAGGTTAGCGTGGCAGGCCAAAACCCCCGAGCTCACCTGCTGGCGGCCTTCCCTCCATCCACCTCTCTGCGTGTTAATGTCATGGGGGGGAAGTGTACACGTTATAGCGCATCTTGTAATACGCTACTGCATTTTATACAAACTGTCTCTTAGTGTAAGTAGTTTTAATTTAGCTTTACTATATATAACTTTAAATCTTAATTCTCACAGAATATCATAGCATGAGCATTTTCCCACATTATTTCTTAGAAGAAACCACTTATCAACAGCAGAGCAAGTACCTCGGAGAGCACAGGTGGAAGCTTAGGTGAGTGCGCCCTGCGTCTAACAGGAGGCTGTGAACGCACATCCCTGTGCCAACTTTGGGGCTTAATAGAATCACGGGTCTGAAAATAGCACCCTGATCGCTGGCACAGAGCACACGTGTCACAGCTGTGGCTTCCCACCAGGGCCTGCTCGGAGGGGCACACACTAGCTCACATGCGTGGCTGGGGCGTTTGGTTAAATCTTGTGCGCCTGTATCCAGAATGGGAGCAGGGACCCCACACAGGGTCAAGCAGGGAAATGTCAGCTGCAGGAGACCCCCAGGCTGCCCCCGCCCTTGCCCACCATGCCCAGCCCTGTCCCTCCGAGCGGCCAGGCGCTCACCGCACTGTGCCCTGGGCAGCTGCCGGCCGGAGCCCGGAGGCCCTGGGCCTTGCACGCTGCATGCAAGGCCCTTCGGCTGCGTGTCTTCACTGGGGCCTTCGTGTGTAGAAGCGCGTGTTCCCTCCCCTCCGGAACACTGTCCCCTGAAGCAGCTCACTGGCCTTGCCCAGCCCGGACCATGTCCACACAGGGCCACCTCCCGAGTGTTGGCTGAAGGACAGTGAAGCTCCCCAGGGCCTGCCTCTCAGCCTCCTGCCTGGAACGTGGGACCTTGTCCCTGTCCCTCTGCTGGCTTGTTGCCTCCCCTCTCCAGATGCTGGCCTGCAGCCTGCTGCAGCCCCTGCCTGTCTGACCGCTCCGCTCTGGACAGGCCTGCTGCCAGACAGACCCCACCTTGGCCGGGGTCCGAGTCCCAAGTCCGGGGACGTTTCTGAACACATTCCTTCCTCCTATTCTGAAAGAGCCACCTCAGCCTCCCTCCCCGCCTGTGCACTCAGAAATGCAGTTACAGAACAATCCCACGCGCTGTTCGTAACACGCCTCCGCTCCCCCGGCCCGCTGCCGGGGCTCCGGCAGCCACTGTCCCCGAGCGTCTCCTTCCCCCGGGCCTCACCGTCGCGGTCCTCCTGAGACCCCAGCCCCTTCGTGAGACACCTGCCCTGACTCCCCCCTGACTCGTTTAGTACAGACAGAAGGTCACAGACTTACTGTGGTGGGTCGAATGACGCACACCCCCTACGAAACATATGTCCACCCATATGTCCTCGTGGACAGAGCTAAGGCAGGGCTCGTGAACTGAGAGCGTCCCAGACACCAGCATAGCCAGGGATAAGCTTAATGTTAAGACTTTATTTTAAAATATATTAGACTATTTTATACTGTAAAAATTTAACTATTCATAATCAAAGACTGGTGGTATAAATGATAAAATATTCATATGATGGAATACTATTCTGCCATCAAAATGGTGTTAGGGAAGAATATTAACTGAAAATGATTACATTTTATATATCTAAGTAAAAGAAATCTACCTGTGTATCCATCACCTATAGGACATATAGAAATGTCCCAAATAATGCGCAGAGTGACATGGGGGCTGGGCTCCGGGGACGCTCAGGTCACGACCGAGGCCGCGGCAGGAAGGAAGGGCCCCCCGCGCCTGTGCCTCCCCCGCCGGTCCGCCGCTGCCCCAGGCCCCGCTGTGCCGGGACGCTGCACACACGGGCCTCGCTGCTTGGCTGGGTTGAGAGCCGCGACTGGCAGGACCACGCGCTCTTCCCGCTTCTCTTCTGCCGCCGCACGTGGTGAGAAGGCAGCGGGTGCTGAGGAGTGGAACAGGAGAGCCCTGAGCTGCACCGGAGACCCAGGCCCGAGCCCAGGGGGTGACACAAAGCCTCTGGCCTCGTGGCCACGTCCATCCGACAGACGGCCCCGCGGCGAGGGCTCCGCAGGCTGCGCGCTGCACACGGGTGCCCAGCCAGGGAGAGGAGAGGAGGGACCCAGCCAGCCCTCTGCCAGGCCACGTGTCCACCCGGAGGGCACCTTCCTGAGAATGGCGCCGGGATCCCGCAGCCCACCCAGCTCCATTTGTTCTGCTCTTTGCAGCCAGGAGTGCCAGGGTGGGCAAGAACGTGGGGAGGAACCTGAGAGCAGAGTAGAGCCGTGCTGGGGCGGGGCTCGCGGGGAGCTGCTGGCAGCTGCATTCCCAGGACGGGCTCCCGGCACTGCCGGGGCTCCCTACAGCCCACCCCT